CGGCCCGGCCGGTTCGGGCTCGGGTCGGCTCAATTTCTTTTCTTTTTTTTTTGAATTTTTTTTTAAGTTTTTGAGTTGGGCTGGGTATTTTGGGCCATTTGAGGTGATTAGGGTTGGTTTGGGGGTGAGGGGAAGGGTTGGGGTTAACTAGGAAAAGCCAAAAAAAAATAGAACCGAGGCCCGGCCCGGCCCGGACCCGGGGGTTACCCGGGCCGGTTCCGGACCTCCCCTTCATGAACCGAGGCCCGGCCGGGCCCGAACCGGAACCGGTCCATCCCTAGTCGCCCATGACTTGTACACAGCCGCCGCCCCTGCCACATCCACCACCGCCACCCATACCACATCCACCGTTACCGCTCCTGGCCTGGCCATCGCTACCGCACCAACCTAACACTTTTCCCCAACCCGCAACCCTATGCAACAGCTCCCCAACCCCAACTCCCTATCCCACCCCCCTGACCTGCCCCATGTCCTTCCCTCGGGTGTTTGGACTTAAGGTGTTTGGATATTTGCATTTGTTTCCCCGTTCCGCCGCCTAATTTTGCATACTCCACCGGGTGTTTGGACTTAAGGTGTCTTGTGGCGGATCCGTATCCGCCGGAAATCCTCAAGCTATAGTTTTTCTTGCACCAATTGCAAGTTGCGGTCCAATTCCCGGTGTTCGGGTCCCTCCACTTAGAAAAATTATTAGCCATTAATTCAGATTTACTTTTTTTTGTACCTGTTTGGGATGAGGCTGCTTGGTCGGCGTCATGGCTGCCGCCACCCTCCTCCTCCTCGTCGTCGTGGCTCTCCGGAATTGCTTCCTCCACATCGTCGTCCTCGTCCTCGAGCTCTTCTTCGTCAATGGTCCTCGGTTGGTCTTGAAAAAAGCGGGAATTATGTCGGTGCAATTCTTGTTCTAGTTGTTCGTCGGTCATCGCATCTCCATCCCTCCTTACGTAACCCGTATCAAAATCATCTTGACTTTGAGATGAAGAGCCGATATGTGATTTACCTTTGCGGGATCTCTTCCTCGCAAGCTCTTTCGTTCGGTTGCGCTCGAGGTTACCCATATCAACCGAATATCTAGGACGATCCATCTAAAAAATGTAGCGATTAATAAAAAATTGTAAAAAACTAATTAACTATTTATCTAACTATTAATTCGAGTTATAGCAAATTAAGTAGTGAATTAACTAGTTTTGTGTAAAACATATTTTTTAAACTAGAGTCAAATGTAGGAATTAATAAAAAATTGTAAAAAACTAATTAACTATTTATCTAACTATTAATTCGAGTTATAGCAAATTAAGTAGTGAATTAACTAGTTTTGTGTAAAACACATTTTTTAAACTAGAGTCAAATGTAGCAATTAATAAAAAATTGTAAAAAACTAATTAACTATTTATCTAACTATTAATTCGAGTTATAGCAAATTAAGTAGTGAATTAACTAGTTTTGTGTACAACATATTTTATAAACTAGAGTCAAATGTAGCAATTAATAAAAAATTGTAAAAAACTAATTAACTATTTATCTAACTATTAATTCGAGTTATAGCAAATTAAGTAGTGAATTAACTAGTTTTGTGTACAACATATTTTATAAACTAGAGTCAAATGTAGCAATTAATAAAAAATTGTAAAAAACTAATTAACTATTTATCTAACTATTAATTCGAGTTATAGCAAATTAAGTAGTGAATTAACTAGTTTTGTGTACAACATATTTTATAAACTAGAGTCAAATGTAGCAATTAATAAAAAATTGTAAAAAACTAATTAACTATTTATCTAACTATTAATTCGAGTTATAGCAAATTAAGTAGTGAATTAACTAGTTTTGTGTAAAACATATTTTTTAAACTAGAGTCAAATGTAGCAATTAATAAAAAATTGTAAAAAACTAATTAACTATTTATCTAACTATTAATTCGAGTTATAGCAAATTAAGTAGTGAATTAACTAGTTTTGTGTAAAACATATTTTTTAAACTAGAGTCAAATGTAGCAATTAATAAAAAATTGTAAAAAACTAATTAACTATTTATCTAACTATTAATTCGAGTTATAGCAAATTAAGTAGTGAATTAACTAGTTTTGTGTACAACATATTTTATAAACTAGAGTCAAATGTAGCAATTAATAAAAAATTGTAAAAAACTAATTAACTATTTATCTAACTATTAATTCGAGTTATAGCAAATTAAGTAGTGAATTAACTAGTTTTGTGTACAACATATTTTATAAACTAGAGTCAAATGTAGCAATTAATAAAAAATTGTAAAAAACTAATTAACTATTTATCTAACTATTAATTCTAGTTATAGCAAATTAAGTAGTGAATTAGCTAGTTTTGTGTACAACATATTTTTTAAACTAGAGTCAAATGTAGCAATTAATAAAAAATTGTAAAAAACTAATTAACTATTTATCTAACTATTAATTCGAGTTATAGCAAATTAAGTAGTGAATTAACTAGTTTTGTGTAAAACATATTTTTTAAACTAGAGTCAAATGTAGCAATTAATAAAAAATTGTAAAAAACTAATTAACTATTTATCTAACTATTAATTCGAGTTATAGCAAATTAAGTAGTGAATTAACTAGTTTTGTGTAAAACATATTTTTTAAACTAGAGAAAAATGTAGCAATTAATAAAAAATTGTAAAAAAACTAATTAACTATTTATCTAACTATTAATTCGAGTTATAGCAAATTAAGTAGTGAATTAACTAGTTTTGTGTACAACATATTTTATAAACTAGAGTCAAATGTAGCAATTAATAAAAAATTGTAAAAAACTAATTAACTATTTATCTAACTATTAATTCGAGTTATAGCAAATTAAGTAGTGAATTAACTAGTTTTGTGTACAACATATTTTTTAAACTAGAGTCAAATGTAGCAATTAATAAAAAATTGTAAAAAACTAATTAACTATTTATCTAACTATTAAACAAGAGTCAAATGTAGCAAATTAACTAGTAATTAAACAAGTGTAAATAATAGAATAATTTCGTACCTCTTTCGGACTTTCGGTCTTTCGGATGGGAGTAATAGAATGACTTCAAATTAATTAGATATAATTCCAAATATATTAATAGATATAATAAATATATAAGTAATATATAATTAGATAACAAATATAAGTAATATAATACTATTTATATCTATTTATAGTTTATATAAGTAGATAATTAATATAAACTATAAATAATAAATATAATATATTGGAGAATGGAGAATAAGAGAATTAGAGAGTAGAGAGTTAAGAATAGGATTTAGGAAGAATTGGAGAAGAGATATGAAAAAATGTTTAAGATTAGGAGTATTTATAGGTTTTTTTACCCCCCACCACCCCCCACCAGCCAACCCCCCGGACCCCCCCTTTACCCCACCCAACGGCTATATAGCCGTTTGGGTTGTCCCCAGCCCCACCCCCAACGGCTAGTAGGAGCCCAAACCAAAAAAAAAAAATTAAAAATAGAACCGGACCTGGGCCGGGTCACAATAATGCAGAACCGAGCCCGCCCCGCCCCTTCCCACCGGTCCGGGCCCATACCCGGTCCCGAACCGCCCGACCGGGCCGGTCCCGGGCCCGCACAGTACCGGGCCGGGCCGGGTGGCCCGAACCGAATCCATCCCTACTCGGGTCCCTCTCCAACATTGAGGACAGCGGATCTGGCACCGCTTGTCCTAAATTTGAGTCCTTTATCCATCGAGTTATGCTAGAGGTACAAAAACTTTTACAAAAAGTCTTACAAAAAAGGTATGTGGCATCATCACATTATTTAACACATCACATCACATTTACAACACTTTTACATCAATGGTAGTTAGAATAGCCACATCACTTGTTTGTAAGTTTTTTTGTAAGTGTGTTTGTACTTCTAGCATTTTTCTTATACATCGAGATTGGCGAATCAAGAATCAACGGCCCCAAATCGCACTCAACCAAGGACGACAGATCCAAGGGAGGAGCAACCATCTAAGATGACGATGAAACTATCCAATTTTAGGCACGGGCGGCGGAGGGAGGGCAATTGCAACACGAGAGTGGCGGCAAAGAATTCTGATCTACGTACGTAGGCAGAGAAGAGGTCTATTCTGCATACCAATTACCAAGGAAGAAGGAAAATGCAAGTACAAGAAGAAGCGCAGAATAGCCGAATAGGTAGCAAATGTGTGCTCACTTTTCAGTCCAATCATAAATTACTCATATCTAGGGATGGACTAAACCGGGGCGGACCGACCCGGAACCAGCCCGGCTCGTTACTGTTTGGGCCCGAACCGGACCGGGACCGGTTGGCCGGTTCCGGGCTTTTAGCCCGTTTGGGCGGGTCGGGCGGGCCGGGCTCGGGCCCAACTTTTGGTGAACCGGCCCGGGCGGTTCAAGCCGGGCCCGGTTCAATTTTTTTTGTTTTTTGTTTTTTCAATTTTTTTTTGCTTTTCTAGGTTAGGGTTGGGTGTTTTGGGGGGATTTGGGGGGTGGGGGTGAAGGGGTGGGGGTCGGGTGTTAATTAGAAACCAAAAAAAAATTGAACTTGACCCGGGCCCGGCCCGGTTAGGCCCGGACCCAGTATCAACCCGGGCCAGTTCTGGGCCCAACATTTTGCAAAAAAAGCCCGGCCGGGCCCGGGCTGGAACCGGACCGGCCCGAGTCCATCCCTACTCATATCTTTGTCCTTTTAAAATTTAAACTCTAAAAGTCATATTTTGGTCATTTTTTCATGCAATTTTCTTATAAACTAATTAAAAATTAGGTTTATTGACAAAGCATGACTGTGGGTAGCCTAATCCCATGATTCATATCCCCTCCCCTTCCCACTCGTTCTGGTTCCGACACAGAGCCACCTGACCAACTCCGATCTAGACCGAGATTAAAATAGAGGTGGGTGTCCACCACTACTCATAGGCTTGATGCTTATTGCTTAACTTTGACGCTTTGTTACATCTTCACATTTTGGAACACTGATTTTAGCTATAAAAAAATGAAACATGTTACAAATTGAAGTCTGGTGATGTCTCTGCACATGCTTTGCCACAGATTTAAAGCAAACAAAAAAAAAATCGGAACCCGGTTTGTATCATAATATCATCTGGTAAATTCACATACAGTTCACAATAGCAAATCTGCCACCCAAATAAAAAAACTACAGGTTGGGGAGATCTTTATCACAAAAACATTGATAAACCCCGAAGAGATAACAAACATATCACACTCGCTGCAGATTACAAATACAAACTGCAAACACAACACTAAACAATTATAATAATTATAACAATAATTATAATAATAATTACTACGTATAATATAAACTTAACGCCAAGACAAGCTCTACCTATACATCCACACGACCACAACCGCCAAGATGTTTTCTTACAAAAGGTTAGGTCAACAACTTTTGGCTTTAGCATCTTTCCCTACAAGTTTCTTAGCGGACGGATCATAGCTATGTCAGAACTCAGAAGCAACGCAAATTCCATCTATATATTTCTTTTTTTTCATCTTTGGACTAAATTTTAAGGCTGCCATAACACTTCATAACAATTTTACAATAAACCACACAAGGGGTAAAATAGGAATATCGTGAAGACCATAGCAGAAGCCGATTTATGCAGAATTGCTTACAGCATTACGCGCAGGAATTGCCTTGTTGTTATTGTGTGCTGCGGGTTACCCTACTACTTCTTGCCACAACACTCCTGCAAATACTTAGGTATCAATTTTTATGAAAACCAGTGAGAAAAATATTAAGGTATTACAGGTTAAAGAAAATGGAGAACAAATAAGAAAAATCTGGAGAAATTTATGCATACTAGTAATATATACTCCCTCCGGTTCTAAATAAACTTCACACTTTGACTTCACACAAATTAAGGAAATAAATTTGACTTTACTGTAGAGTACACTGTTGTGACACTGTTTGGCACTGTTTTGCACTATTTTGATGTAGATAATTTGCCAGATAAGGAAGGGAGAAGAAGTGTGAAGTTTATTTTGGACCTACCCAAAATGGAAAGTGTGAAGTTTATTTAGGACCGGAGGGAGTAGAACATATGCAAATCGTGATACAAACTTTAAAATAATATTGTTTTGTAAATTAAATATTTCATTCACAGACCCTGGCCTATGAAAGCAAACATTAGTGACTGGTTAATGAGGAGGGAAGTTAGTAAGAGAAACAAAGGGAATGGAATATCAAGGAGAGGATGGGAAACAACAAACTTTGTTTGAATCGAACAGGTTTAGAAAAGGAAAGAAAGAGGTGGGATTATAAAGGATTGTGATGTTCTATTGTTTGGATTACAGTGAAAATGGAGGGATAATAGGTTGGGGATATTTGAGGGAATGGAAGGATGGTAGCATCTTATCAAACAAATAATGATCTGTTGTGGTCATCTCAGATGGCCTTTATTTTTACAGAATCCTATTTTAATTCTTTAGACTTAAATCAGCACAATTAGGTTAGCAAAGAATGGTTACAAATGCTACTCATTATTGGTAATAGCTATGAATGTTAATTACAAAAAACAGACCTCCCAGGAATCAGTTGAGAGCTAATGACAGGGGCCTTTGAACTTCCAGGTCGCTTGGCCCTATTTTCTTGATCCTTCTCAACTCGCATTGCAGAAACTTCCTTTTCCATTGCAGCAACCTCCCTTCTCATCTTTTTGGCCTCAACTTCCATAGCTTTTGTTAGTGTCTCTACTTTCTTGGCTAACATCTAAATAGTAATAATGGAACAAACTTAGTAATAATAGTAATAATTTAGTCAATAATGTGTGCCCAAGGGCTCGTAATAAAGAAAAATACACGTGCTGCATTTTCAAGTTTTAGAAAGCAGTTAATGATTTCAAGAAAAAATAAATTTGGTGTGAAGCGGATATGATTATCACTAAAAGTGCATTTATCACCACTATAAGGAATAATTCAAGGAAACCATGAAGAAGATTAAATACTAGCTAATTGCTACTTTCATATGCTCATGGGCACACTAGAAATATCCATAAACTATTGCTCAATTTGATCCTGGACAATGCAATTTAATCACAACTTAGTCCTCATGCGTAGCAAGAACAGATCATGGGGGAGGGCAGGAAACAATAATTCATTCAACTACTATTTTACGCACAAAATTACATATCTAATAAAATGCGTTTATCGAACTTGGGGCGGGTCAGGTCCAGGATCTCCCCCCACCCCCACCTACACCCTTGTGTCATAGTTTGATATAATTAAGAAGCATATTAGACTGTGATGAGGATTAAATTTGGTCTAAATTACATGATTGAGGAACGATTTGAGTTCTAAATTCAATCTAAATTTAGTCATTTAGTGATTAGACAAAAGTACTTTCACATTTAGAACCAAATACGTACGAGGAATAAATTGGGTTAAAATTAGCAGTATAGGGCCAAATTAAGTCCAAAAGAGCTTGAAGACTAAATAGAGCCATACTTTGAGTAATAACATGTGGTTGAGGGACTAAACCAGGTATTTAATTCTAAAGCACATATGTAAGAAATTAAGAAGTAATGGCATGGGTGTGGAAAAAAACCTCAATAGCATCGTCCTTGTCTTTTAGACTTTGATCCTTTTCATGACATGCTTTCCTCATAGAAACCACCTCCTTCTGTAGCAAGTCGTACAATACTCCCGGGACAGTGTCCTCTGTTTCTATAACTTTCATGTCATTAGGTTTTTCTTCTTGTTCTCCTTTCCATGTTTTTTCAGTCACAGTGTCCTTAGCTCCATCACATGACTGAGTGAGCTTGAAATTTGGACCGGTTCCTGTAAGAAGATTTTTCCCCCGGTCCAATGATCTTGAGCCACCATCAAATGACTTTGATGTCCCTTTTGCATGCTTCAGCACTGAACTGATCCCAGAAGACCTTGGGTGAAGGACTGGTGACCGCTTGGGCAAAAACCCATTAGAAGCCAATCTTGCAATGTTTTCTGCCCCACCTAGTGATTGCCGGCGTGAAGCACCATTACTTGAACTTCTCCCCTCAGGTGTGCCACGGACAGTTGTGCTAGACGACGACCTCAATGTGTCTTCTAGAACCCTAAGCCTTAATTGATATTTTTCCTGCCGAAAATAGTAAAGTGTAATTTCAATTTAGGAGATGCATGTATTGAAAATTTGAGTTATAAAATGAGTCATCAATTGGACAAAGCAAATGACTACTTTCAACTGGGCTTCTGACTTTGCAGCTCGTTCAGAAATTGCTAGCTTATCACGTAATTGTTGCATCTCTCCCTGTACAAGATGTGGTCATCACAACCCAATTAAACATCATATTCATAAATCCCGTAATCCATTACTCAATATGCTAACTGAATCAGCAGCTTCTAATGAAAAGGATTAGTGCAATACAGCAATAGTTACTTTATTTTGGCTAAAATGGCTGAAATTTATACTTGTGGCTTTATTTTCTTTAAATATACACCTTAAAGTAACTCTTTTAGATAATTCAACAGATTAAGACATTTTGATCACAAATTCAGCCATTTTAAGCCTTAACATAAGTGCTTGAAGTCAATAAAGGTCTGAGGTGGACACATGATAAACCTGTAAGAATCTTCTCTCTTCAAGCCACTGTTTTACAGGCATTACTTTGTCATTAGAATCTTTCCACTCATTAGCAACCACTGTGGCCACCCTATTTGCAGTAACCTTTGCACGAGCCAACTCCCGGTCAAGAGTTTTTCTTTCTTCCTGAGGAGCAGATAAAAAAGAATATGTTTCAGGATATGTGGTATTGATGAGGACTATTCAGGCAAAATGTGAAGTGGCATCTACTTATAGAGGTACAGTGTATTACATTCATCTCTTGAACTTTGCGTTGATAATCTCGAACGGCATTAGCAGCAGCTCCACCAGCAAGAACAGCCTCTTCAAGCTCACGCACTGTTTGGGTAAGCTTTTCAACCTCTGCAACCTTTTGCCGGTGCATTTTGTCCAATATTTTGTTCTCTTCCTGAAGTTCTTTGGGATTAAATTGCAACTAGACAACTATATACCAGAAACAAATAAAAAAGAACTACGCAGTAATTAAGAAAGCAAACCTGGCAAATCTCTATTTGTTTCATCAGCTCTTGATTCTTGTTTTGAAGATCATCCACCATTGAGGCTTTGGCCAATGCTGACTGCACTGTTCTCTCAGCTTCAAGTAAAGCAGCCTCCTTTGATTTGGTAAGACGGTCCAATGCCTTGTTATCATCTTGAAGCTTCGCAATCTGGACAGAACAAAGATCAAAATCATGCTGGAAAAATAAATGGTTAAACATGGTCTACTGAACTCATAATGTATAACAAAGAGAAAATTAAAACCTCTTGCCGAGCTAACTTGAGTTCAGCCTCCAGAGGAGCAAGAATTGCTTCGATTGGAGGCATATCATCATCTTTTTGAGCAGCATGAACCCTCCTAAGAGTGGCTTCCGCAGCAAACTGAGCAGCCATAGAAGCTCTCTTCTCATCATTGATTTTCTTAATTTCAAGATTCTGTCAAGAGTAGAAGATTCCATAGTTAAAACTTTAAAGCACCTTGCTTTCTAGAAGAGACTCTGTCAAAAGGTTATATTAGCACCTTGCTTTAATAGGAAAAAATGAAAAATGAAGTAGCTAGGCAAAAGGATATATTAGCACCTTGCTTTCTAGAAGAGACTCTGTCAGCTTGAGCTTTCCGTCAACCTTTGCTAAATCATCAGTGAGCTAAAAAATTGATAGAACCAAAATATATCAATTTAAAGCACAATCTGATGCATTGGATAAACAGATCAAACAAAACAAATGTGCTGCAATCATTCACATACATCTATATCAATTGACATTGCACAGGTTAAATCCTACAACTATATAGCTATAAGTTGGCATTGCACAAGACTCGTTTTAGAAACTGTGTCAAAAAACAAGGGATGAAAATATGAAAAATCGGCACGAGCCTAAGTATATTAAAACAGCCTAAGGGATTGTTTACAAGAGCTTTTGATATATCTATAGAGTGATCACTATATATAAAAGATATCTATAGTGCGAAGTGCGAACACTACGATTATTGTGCATAATGGTAATAGGTCCTTTTGGGACTCAAATTGTAGCCCATTGGGATCTTCTCTTAGAGACCTTGACCCTGAGACCAACTTTGACCATAACATCTCTATTCGGGATGCCTATCAAGATCTCTCTGCCACCATCGACACCCTTCCTGTTGATGTCCAAGAGGCTCTAAACCTCTACACCCCAGTTTTTTATAATGAGAAGGACGAAGTCCTTTGGAAGGGCACAACGAACGGAAAATCCATTTTCAAAAAGGCCTATGATGACACAAGGAAAAAAACGTCCCAAAGTTAAAAACCTGGATAATATTTGGCATAATCCGATTCCTAAGAAGATCTCTTTTTTGCTTTGGCATCTTAAAAAACAATCTTATCATAAGCGCTAATTCTCTTCAAAAAATTGGTTTCCACGGTCCTTTTAAATGCCCAAGTTGCAACCACACTGATTCCATAGACCACTTTTTCCTTGTGTGTGATGCTCATAAACCTATTTGGTCCCATTTCAAAATGAAGAAACAGTGGCTGGATGGCACCATTTCCAAAAAACATTTACATTGGACCAAGCGAAACCAATTTTTACTCTACGCAATAATTATTTGGAATCTGTGGGAAATGAGGAATGCCTTACTTATTGATGATAAAATTACCACCAAGTATGAGGCTATCCTAAAAATTCACACTGAATATATTAATTTTCAAGTGCAAAACAAAAACTCCTTTCGTCCTTCTATCAAGAGCGGCCCTCGCATCGTTTCCTGGAACCCTCCCATAAGACGGCATCTCAAGGTAAACATTGCCTCCACTAGGGATAACCTCTGCACCCACACTGGCTTTCTCTTCCATAACCATCTGAGTATCTGGGCAATATGCTCACGCATAGTTGCCACCTTGCCAGTTTTTTTTCAATATTTCAGGTCATGCTGCCCTCATTGAAACTATCCTTTCCACTCTTCTCTTTTGCATGACCAACACTACCAGGTTACTACCCTAGAACTGAAAGTTCAGGATGTTTCCAACGCTACTCGCATTCACTGTGTTAAGATGTGGAACTCCATCTACTCTATCTCTCGTATCCAGAAGATTATTCAAGATAGCAACATAGACATCCGAATTGTGGACAAGGTTTTAAATCGCCCTTCTCTTTTGCAGGGACCAACACTACCAGGTTACTATCCTAGAGCTGGATGATCAGGATGTTTCCAACGTTATTCGCTTTCACTGTGTTAAGATGTGGAACTCCATCTACTCTATCTCTCGAATCCAGAAGATTATTCAAGATAGCAACATAGACATCCGAATTGTGGACAAGGTTTTAAGTCGCGCTGCCAAATATATCAGTGATGGAAAAAACACTAACTCTCATCATTTTGTACACATCCTAAAATCTGATGCTATAGGCTTCTCTAATATCACATACAACTCTAACATGTTTTGAGGTTAGGTTTTATGCCCTCCTCATCTCCCTTATCATTAATAAATTCCCTCTTTTCCTTAAAAAAGAAGAGCTTTTGAGAAGTGGAAAAAAGCTAGAAGTAGTGTCTTTAAGCTGTTTCTGCTTAACTTTAAGCGCTTTAAATCTGAATGCAGCCGCAGGGGAGAGGGTGCTTAAAATTGCATTTCCCTTTTTCCATAATATTTTACCCTAAAAATACAATAAAACATACTGCTTACCAAACACTGCCAACTTTTACTTCTAATCACTTTTCATACAATCTTTAAAATGAATTACTTTTCAAGAGCACAAGCAAACGCAAACACCCTTCAAAAGTAATGGCAGCACGATTTTTTATGCTCTTGAATAGAGATTAAAATTCTAGTATCATTTCCGAAATCAGATGGATTTAAATATTCAAAATACATTCTTAAGTGGAACTGCACAGAAAATAACAGGATGCCACTAAGAACCATCATAAATGTCCTCTTTTAAATGGATTAAACCAATAATTTCAAGAAATGCTTGTTTCCCTACACATTTGGGGGAAACAATCATAAAGAGCTTACTAAGTTTCAGCCATAACTGAACATAGAAGCATCCAGCAAACTCCAGGTGTCTGATATTTTAAAGCATTTCCACTGAAAAAGATCTCTTGAGATGAATAAGTTGTTAAACAAGGTATTATGTTAGATAAATGAAAGCAATACAGTGTCTAGGAAGTCTAGCCACCAAATCCGATCATATAGAATTCAATAACCATCCAGTGAAAGCATGGAGGATAAAAAAAATAGCATTGCAAGTAATTTTATTATCATCGTACCAGTATACCATCTGAAGCTTTAAAAAATATTCAACTTCGAGAGAAGTGATTCTGCTAATGCATATAAATTTGTTGTTGGCTCCATTCACTTTTTTTTTTACTTCAGGGGGGTCTGGGGGAGGGGGGCTGGGGGCTGGAGTAATCAGGGCTGAAACTCATTCCAGCCTAGGCACGGTAACCTCTCAAACAGCTGGACTGGAACTTTGGTTGGCTCCATTCACTTTAACCATGTTTGTTACTGTTTAACTTTGAACTCCACCACCTCATCAAACATAGCGAGAAAACTATGAAAGCATTGCACTATTGCAGTTGTTTACTATCTTTGTTGTCCGCTCTTCTAATATTTAAAACACCTGGCTAAATTCACTACTGCCTCACAATGAGCTTAGTGTGTCAAGGACTACCACTCAGGGAATGAGTATATTTACAATCAATGTAACACCTACACATCACGGTAAGCATTTAAGAACCTAAACCACCCATCTATAACACCCATGAAGAAAAATGTTTTTCTCTTTGTTAAAAATGTTAAAAGGCTAAGAAAGAGAAGCCAAACACCTCTTCAACAGCCTTTTCTCTTAAACGCTCAGACAGCCTCAGTGCCTTGATTTCCGCTTGAGACTCGGACAATTCGCGCTCCTTATCTACAAAACAGTAAAAACACCAACGAATCAATCACATCAAAAGACGACAATATCAACACGCGGAGCAAGAAAAGACTCCGTCGGGAACCAATTCACACTGGATCCAGCTGGCATTACCAACCTCTCAGCTCATTCTCAAGTCGATTGAGCTCAACCTTCACCGGATCCGAGCCGTGTAGCATGTTTATGAACTCGTCCGCGTCAAGGCTCGGCCTCACAGACGCCCTCCGCCGCGACGACCTCCCTTCCTTGAAAGAAGACGACGCCGTCAATGGCGTGGGAGTCACTGAATCACATGCCTCGCCTTCCGCCGGCCTCGCATTTCCACCATTGTCTCCGAAATTCCAATCCGGCGTGCCCGTCGCAATTCCGTCTCCGGACAACTCCGACATCTCCGATCTATCCGCTTATCACCTCCCTCACATCAAAAGCCTCAGTCCTGCCAGTGAGATTGAATATATACATACAAATCCACAAAATCTAAATACGTGTATGATTAGTGTAACTATCAGTGTCGATAAGACAATAAATGTGCATTTATTTAGCTAAAATGCCATATAGAGAAACAGTGTACGGAAGTCAAGATACTGTGCAATGTGCACTAAAGATAAAAGCCCAGAGGCCACTGAGAAAATGGCTAAGGTTATGTTTGGCGTGCGAAAGAAACTGAAAGGCAGTTCTATATAGTGAATTAAGGTGGCTAAGGTTGCTGGATTTGGGCTCTTAAGCTCTTTGACTCGTTGAATACCCATTTGGTCAAAAAGAAGAAATGGTGATTTGAAAACTCTCTCTCCGTTATTTCATTACTTCTTCCATCCCCATCTGGAAAACTCTACTCCATCTTTGTCGATTCATCTGTAGTCATCCCACCCACACACTCACCTAAAGCTTCAAAGCCAATAATGGCCGAAAGTTCGTCTGATTTGTGCATGTGCGGTGATTTAAATGGTGTGGTGGTTGAGGACTCAGAGGATTCTTCCGAATGGGCCGATTTTGTCCGTGAGGCTGAGATCTTTGTCGACTTCATCCCTAAGCCTGGGATCTTGCCCGGATTTGTCCCTGAGGCTGAGATCTTGCCGGATTTCATCCCAGATTCTGAGCTCCCGTTGGTCCTGATTTCTGAGAATGAAGAAGGATTGAAAGGATGAAAACGGTTGAGATCTGAGCAATGCCTCGTAGGACTACAGGAGGAGTCCGGGTTGTTGACTGTTCCAGCGAGCATTTGGACCGAAGAGGTGAAGCCTCCAATGAAAATGTCATTGACATCTACTTTCGGTCAGTGGATACAACAAATGTGGGGTATGTTCTACATGCGTACGCTCATCCTCACCCGGATCCTATAATTCAAGAAAGATTGGACAATGTGGTTTCAATGTGGCTGTCTCTTTACAAAAAACAAGGTGATAAGTTCCACTTGTTGCATGCATATATTAGTGTCTCTATTCATGTATTATTGTGAGAATTTGTAGTCCCTAACCGATGGGTAATTGTTGTTCACTTTACTGTCTCTATGCGTGAATGATGCCTAAAATTGATGTTCACTTTACTGCCTATATATATGCTTAAATGATGCCTAACACTAATGTCTTGTATGCCTAATTCATGTTGACCTAACTGCCTCTACACTTAAATGATGTTTAGATTGTTCCCTAACTGATGGGGTAATTGGGAGGGCAGTTTAGAAGTTGACCAGATGCATGTTGTGTATGTTACTCCATCCCTAAATGTTCTTCCGTTTTGACTCGGCACATTGATTACGAAATTGTACAGTTTTCCTTTACTTTCCACCTGTGTGGGTATGTTGCCTCTTTGCCTAAATGATGTTCACATTGGGCCCTAATTTATGGTCTAATTCCTTGAATGTTATTGTTGCTTGATTCCTATTGTTTAATGTTTCCTAACGCCTTGTCTGCCTGAATGATGTTGACCTAAGTACCTAACTGCCTCTATGCCTAAATGATGTTTGAATTGGCCCTAACTGGTGGGCTAATGAGGGAGGCAGTTAAGATGTTGACTGATTCCTATTGTTGAATGTTGCCTAATTGCTTGTATGCCTAGATGATGTTGACCTAACCGCCTCTATGCCCAAATGATGTTTTAATCTGAGCCTATAACTCATGCCTAGATGCTAGATCAGGACTATTGGGAGGTTGACAACTTGACATGATAGTTTGATGTTAAATCCTTCAGTAGTACCCTCTTTCATGAACTCACTGTCATTAGGCTCTATATGTGGTTTGGCATTGTCTTGTTGGATGTAAATATCCCCAGATGCATCAAGTGGCCACTTGGCTTTGATGGCAGTGAGCACTTGTCTGAGTAAACACTGTATGTATACACTTTTAGTGACACTCTCAAGTGTTTTTTCCTCTATTGTGCCAACTGTTCTGTTTTTGCTATTCCTTTTTGCTGCCTGGAATTCTATGAATGGGAAAATATCTATTTTCCCATCAAATAAGACCTCTGAGTCTTTTGAAAATATTGGTCTAGCCACAGCACACAAAAACATTACTTTTATGATGTATCTCTTGGACTTGCATGTTCTGTGTGGCTCTTGTTCATCTGAAGTGAGATCGTACCTCTGTGAGGGTTTAGTAATGTAAAACCACTTCTCATCCACATGGACATAGTTGAACATGGGTTCAAATAGTGGATGAGTTGTGAGTGAGTGTGGGACAATGTGTGAAATGACTCGTTCAAGCCTCTTAGTCATATTTGACTCAATCAAATAGGGTTTGATAGAATTTGTGTGTACTTTAATCTTACCTTGTCGTATGAGTTTGTGCACATTTGTTTTGGGACAACCCATAGCAGATGTCAGACTTCGTATGGTCTGCCTTTTGTGAAGATCTATTTCCTTAAAGTCAAGTGTAAGTAGTGGTAAAGGTTTCCTACCACTTTTTGTAGCAAACTGTGTGTCAACATTTATAGGTACACCATCCCTTTATGATTTCCTTACTTGTCCCCAAATACTTGTGATGTACCTTATCGACACTTGATGTTCTTTAGCTAATTCAGATTCCAATCCTTGGGTCAGCTTTTCATCTCTGGAATTAGTGAGAAGATCTTGCAAGATCCTCTGCTTTGCTTCGTTGGAGAGCCTTTTTTGTGTTGTTTCAAGATTTTCATAAACTTTCATGTTGTAATTGTGATGATGTACGACGATCTCTTGTAATATGCGTAGGTTTATATAGAGCTTTGAGATATTTTAAGTGTTTAAAATTTTTAAGTTGGAGGGAATGCTCAAAAGTCCCGCTAGAAGACAAATAATCCAAAAAAAATCAGTCTGCTTTTACTGTACACTGCAAACTGTCCCATCACTCTTTATATCCCCTAACCTTGTGCGGTAATTAAAAAAAGGACAAAGGTGGAAAGTCAAGGGAAAATAGTAAGAGTCTGTTTACTAACAGAGATATTTTCCAGTTTTTCAGAAAACTGGAAAACTAGAAAACGGAAAATAGTAAACATGTTTATCATAGAAAATTGCTGGAAAACCGGCGAAAGGAAAACAGAAAAACGTGTTTACCAAACCGTTTTCCAAAATGAAAAAAATGAGACATGCTTCTCTTTTCCTTAATGATTTGGAGAAGTGACTTTTACTAGTTTTCCAAATTTGGAAAACGCAGATGCTACAGGTCGTTGCAATGAATTTGCATACTTACACCTAGTAGTGGGTGCGGTCCCGCTTCGATGTCGATTCCATTCTAGTACCTCCATCCACATACCTTACCCCTACCCTACCCTACCCACCCAACCCCCACCCTGCATACCCCTTTTCCTTACAACTACCCTACCCCAACCCCTACCACATGCCCCTACCTCGGTCCCACCCCGATCCACCCTACCCTACCGCCACCCCTTACCACCTCAACCCCACCCTGACACACCCACCCTACCACCACCTCGTATATTACCCCTTACCCCTACAATACCCCTTCCCACATGTTGTAGCACCGTCCCCAAGCATATTTACTTTTAGTAAATTATGTAATAAACCTCGAAAGATGATTTATGAATTTACGTAATTGTTAAATTTTATTATTTCTTTTACGTGAATAGTAAATTGCATGTGGGGCCACAACGGGAACGGGGACCGCCCGATAATTCCCGAACCACATATTATATTCATCTTGGTCTAGATGAAATCTATACGGTGGTGGATATTCTAATTGGGTCATAAGAAAGGCATGGAGTTGACCGGTCGGTCAAACGGGGCCCCATTACCGGTATTGGTAATTTAGCGGATAACAGTCCGAAATGAGTTTCGGAGACTCCTAAATTAATGTTGGGGAATGTATATCTATTCTAAAGGCCCATAATTATTGGGAACGCGTGATATATTTTATCCGGCCCGATAAAATAAAATATGACAAAAACAGTCCGAGAAATACAACTTTCGGGGCCAATTATACACACCGGGATATAATGGGATGACCTCCCACATAAGTGGGGGCCACCCCACGACCCAATGTGCTGCAAGTGACAAGGAAGCAGTTGGGGGTGTACCTAGTAGGTGGGAAGTCTCATAGAGACAAACACCCATACCCCTTGGCCTACCCATTTGACCTCTCTCAATTGATTGAGGAGAGTTACCTCCTACCAATAGCACCCATTCGGCCAGCAAGAAAAGAGAGAGAGAGAGAGAGTTCCAAGGAAGCTCTTACATAGCTCAAGTTGAGGAGGCAGGAGGAAGAAAGCCCAAAAAGAAAAGCTAGAGTAGAGGTAAGAGCTCAACTAGTTTTTCACTTTTAACTAGTTTATTTGTGTATGATTTTTTTATAAATCATATGGTGGATTAAACATGATGTTCTACACGTTTAAAAGTGTAGAATATTGGTATAGAATGGTAGTATTTAACTTAGAAGAGTTGTGGAATCGATAGGGGTCGAAACCGCCGGAAAACCGCCACTTCAAAGGAGCTAGTCGTAGTTGCAGACCACGAAAGCCGCCCGGCTTTGGCCCAGAAACCCAACTTCTCACTTTCAATCGGCCTAGAACGGGGACTGATCGAGGGGCTTAACAAAGGCAACTATTGTAGCACATCACGAGGTGAGGATGGCTGACTATATTGCTTATAATTAGTGAGTTAATTTCATAAGATTGCCTGATGTAATTAGATGGGATTTTCATGGATTATTAATGATTTATAATGCCTAAATGAAAATGATATTGATATAAGTAAGTGAAGCATGATATACAAATTTAGAATAATTGTGTATGATCATGTGAAATAAATAGAACGGGATATTAATGGAATTACTATGATGACATTGTGATAAAATATACCTTACGCCATGTATGAAATTCATGAACGGAGTAAAGTGATATTTTTGATATTGAGATCAAACTATACTTGTGTTGGGAAATCAATTGAAATGAAAAGTCAATTGGAAAATAGGAACTTGGCATGTTCTAAGATTATCCAATTAGTATCAAAATACTAGTCGGGGAATTAATATAAATAAATGATGAAACAAATCCTAAGAGGTAGGATTGTGAATAGATATGCCTTAAGTAGTCTCAAGAGATACTTTAAGGTTGAATTGTGTGAACACTAAGGTGATAGGGGTAGGCCTAAAGGCTACCTACGGAAATTGATTCTAGGCATAGGAATTGCTTGAGAATGTAATTATGAAAATAATTAGAGTCGGACTCTAGGATGACATGGAAATGTAGTTGGGTCGAGCCCATGCCATGTAATATGATTAGCATGGAAACGTAGTTGGGCCGAGCCCTTGCCATGTATATGTGACCTCCGTGGAAGCGTAGTTGGGCCGAGCCCTTGCCACGAAGTTATGGTTGGTATGGAAACGTAGTTGGGCCGAGCCCTTGCCATACAAATTTTGATATGATGTATTGAGTTAGAGGATTGTATAGAAATGTAGTTGGGTCGAGCCCATGCTATACAATTGGGGCTCGATGGGACCCCACGGGGTTATCGTGACTTGCGGTCACGGGGGAATGGAAACGATGAATTCTAAATGAATATGGGCCTACGGGCCGACTACTTGACTTTATATAAAGTAAGTACAGTTAAAAGAAAAAAGGGTAACCGAGGGTTATGGCCTGTAATATAATAGTACCCTAAGTTGAGGGTCTTGGAAATTAAAACGTTGATTATACTTAGTATAGTTGCTATTGTACTTGTCAAATATTTCCAAGTACTGACCTCCCCTTCACGGGGGAGGCCACCTCACAGTTTCAGGTAGGACTTGAAGGTTGCTACCATCGCTCGTGGCTTCAGGAGGATCAAGGGGAGAGGACGTGGTTCGTGCTTCTTCCGTTCTGTTTTAAAAACAATTACGTTAATGCTCATGGATATTATTTTTGAATAATTACTTTGGGGGCTTGTATGCCGAGTTATGCCAAGTGTGGCTTGAACAATTGTATTTATGCTTCCGCTGTTTTAAATGAATGATTTACATTATGTTTGTTTATGGATGTACTATGTGTGAATGATATTCATGACGCCTTGTATAGTATGGATGAGTCGGACTGCGGTTGACTATTCGTATTGTACGGCGGGTTGTTGACGTGTCCGGCTAGGCACATGACACATGCCCCCTACCTCGGCCCCACCCTACGGCCATCCTACTCCCGCCCTCGTACTGCCATCCTACCCCACCCCCACCCTACCCCTTCCCTTACCTCACCCCCACCCTGATCTCGGCCCCACCCTACCGCCATCCTATCCCAACTCCCTACCCTACCCCTACCTTACCCCAACTCCTTACTCTAACCCTACCTTACCCCAACCCCAATCCTACTCACTACCCCCACCCAACCCCGTACCCTTAGACCTTACCACCCCCCCACCCATACCTTCCTTCCCTACCCTGACCCCTACGAGTAGGTATGGGTGGGTATGAAGGGTTTTAGGGGAGTATGGGTAGAGTGTAAGATCGTGGTAAGGGTAGGGATAGGGGTAAATGGTGTGGAGTTGGGTGTAGGGTGTAAGGTGGGGGTACGGGGTATAGGGGCAGTGTAGGGGTTAGAAGTATGGGTACACGTACGAGGTGATCGACCCCACATAATATATTATATATTTGTGTTCATGAATGTGTGTGTTTATTATAGGGTTAACTTGGACATTTTAATGTTAAACGGTGTTTTAAACCTTTTGAAGTAAACATGATCTTATAACATTGCTTATTTTATGTGTCGCTTATTAACGCGAGTTTTAATAAGCATCATTTAGTAACCCGTGAAGTAAACATGTCAGTCTTCTGGATGATCACAGAACTGGATGAAAAAATTGATGAGCACGTTTTCAGATTTGAAAATGGAAAACTAGAAAATAGAAACAGAAATCTGGAGATAGAAAAACTGAAAAATAAAAACAGAAAATTGGAGAACGAAAAACAGAAGTAGAAAACAGGAAAGTATCTCTGTTAGTAAACAGGTCCTAACTTTTCTTAATCAATGTGCCCAGTCAAAACAGAAGTAAATTCAATCCAAATGTCCATTTTCAAATTTTAAATTGGGACTCGATCACAATCTATGCCAAATAGGGATGGATTCGGGCCGGGTCGGGCCCGGTCGGGCCGCCGGTTCGTATCACATGGGCCCGGGACCGGCCCGAGGGTTGGACGGGTCCGGTTCGGGCCGGGCCACCCGCCCGGGTCACGGGTCGGGCCACCCGCCGGGCCGGGCCGGGCCGGGTAAATATTTTTTTTAAATTTATATTTTATACTTTATAGTTTTATACGAGTATTAAAAAACAAACTTCGAGTGCATTTATTTGAAATGAAATAGGAACTACATTTGAAAATTAAATAGGAACTATAATTGTTTTTAATCGGAATCTCCGGCATAGGTAGAGCCACCCTCTGTTGTAGATTCATCCATAAAGTGTTGGGATGGAGTGATGACAATTTCTTGAGCTCTACGTGCTGCTTTCAACCAATCCTGGTAGCATATAAGCATCTCAAGAGATTCAGCGTTCAACCTCGTTCTAGTTTGTGTTAGAACATTGTCGGCCGAACTAAATTCTTGTTCCACGGCAACCGTTGAAACCGGCATTGATAGCACTTGCTTAGCCATCTTTGCTAAAACCGGGAACATTCTTTCTTTTCCCTTCCACCAGTTTAGTACGTCAAAATCATCATCTTCTTCAAAATCAACATCATAAGTTAAATACAAAGAAATCTCATTAATTGTGCTTTGTTGTGTAGCGGGAGTTGATTTCGTTTTTTTAATAAGATTGGCAAACGTAGATTTGAAAATTGATTTTCCTTTAGATGATGTTTGTGTCGGGGGAGGGGGCGCATTGCCATATTGTGCATGAAACTCATTGAATAATGCATAAAATATATCACTAAAGTCAAATGTACAACATATTTTTGTATACTTTAGTGAATATTTTTGTATATCACTATAGCAAATTAAGTAGTGAATTAACTAGTTTTGTGTACAACATATTTTTTAAACTAGAGTCAAATGTAGCAATTAATAAAAAATTGTAAAAAACTAATTAACTATTTATCTAACTATTAATTCGAGTTATAGCAAATTAAGTAGTGAATTAACTAGTTTTGTGTACAACATATTTTTTAAACTAGAGTCAAATGTAGCGATTAATAAAAAATTGTAAAAAACTAATTAAATATTTATCTAACTATTAATTCGAGTTATAGCAAATTAACTAGTAATTAACTAGTTTTGTGTACAACATATTTTTTAAACTAGACTCAAATGTAGCAATTAATAAAAAATTGTAAAAAACTAATTAACTATTTATCTAACTATTAATTCGAGTTATAGCAAATTAAGTAGTGAATTAACTAGTTTTGTGTACAACATATTTTTTAAACTAGAGTCAAATGTAGCAATTAATAAAAAATTGTAAAAAACTAATTAACTATTTATGTAACTATTAATTCGAGTTATAGCAAATTAACTAGTAATTAACTAGTTTTGTGTACAACATATTTTTTAAACTAGAGTCAAATGTAGCAATTAATAAAAAATTGTAAAAAATTAATTAACTATTTATCTAACTATTAATTCGAGTTATAGCAAATTAAGTAGTGAATTAACTAGTTTTGTGTACAACATATTTTTTAAACTAGAGTCAAATGTAGCAATTAATAAAAAAATGTAAAAAACTAATTAACTATTTATCTAACTATTAAACAAGAGTCAAATGTAGCAAATTAACTAGTAATTAAACAAGTGTAAATAATAGAATAATTTCGTACCTCTTTCGGACTTTCGGTCTTTCGGATGGGAGTAATAGAATGACTTCAAATTAATTAGATATAATTCCAACTATATTAATAGATATAATAAATATATAAGTAATATATAATTAGATAACAAATATAAGTAATATAATACTATTTATATCTATTTATAGTTTATATAAGTAGATAATTAATATAAAGTTATAAACTATAAATAATAAGTATAATATATTGGAGAATGGAGAATAAGAGAATTAGAGAGTAGAGAGTTAAGAATAGGATTTAGGAAGAATTGGAGAAGAGATATGAAAAAATGTTTAAGATTAGGAGTATTTATAGTATTTTTTACCCCACACCCCCCACCACCACCACCCCCCACCACCCAACCCCCCCGGACCCCCCCTTTACCCCACCCAACGGCTATATAGCCGTTTGGGTTGTCCCCAGCCCCACCCCCAACGGCTAGTAGCCCAAGAACCAATTTTTTTTTTTAAATCTTAAGACCGGACCCGGGCCCGACCCGGCCGGGCCGGGTCACATTAATCCAGCACCGAGCCCGCCCCGCCCATTCCCACCGGTTCGGGTCCATACCCGGTCCCGGACCACCCGACCGGGCCGGTCCCGGGCCCGCACAGTACCGGGCCGGGTCACGGGCCGAATCCACCCCTAATGCCAAACACATAATCCGTATTACCCAAGCCAACCCACGTTTCTTATAACCATTTGTCCGTATTTCATAGATTTGCTCATTTGCCCACTCCAAAAATGCAAATATCAAATTTGGGTCTACAAAATACAAATCTTTTTTTACAATTCTTTCAAAAACAAACTTTTTTTTACAATTACCACCGTTTGATGATAACCTTGTTTGTTTTTTACTCATCAATCGTAATAATATCATATTGAGCAGATTTAAGCAGTGCTTTTTCTCATTTGAATTTGTTTATAATGAAAAGAAAATGTCAAAAGTTGAAATTACTTGACTGAATTGGTTGAAGATGATAACTTTAACCTTTCGTCATACAACATTTTTTTACTTATTACATATTTCAAATATTATCAATCGGCTGAATAAACCAATTTTAGAGAACATTATATATTTATATATCATGAGTGTCCAATTATGAGCCCAACAAAATTATAAAATTATTATTGTATTGCCTGATATGGTTCAGACTTCAGAGTTGAGACGAATTGGAACTTGGAAGCAAACAATGTGATTCCCCATCAAGTAAAATGTATTTCAAAACTCTCAGTCCGAAATATTACCATTCCTAATACCCAAAACTATTTGCTACTGAGCTGATAAAAGCTTTTGGATTGTATCTTCTGAAAATAATAGAAACAATCAAACATCCAGATTTGATCTATTTTGCACTTACGCCTATCCATTAACACAGTACTAGAGAGCCTCGTCATTCATATGCTCCGCTCCATGACCCTGATAAGTGAAGCTTTCCTTTGTTCTTCAGTCCATTCTGGATAAGTAGCGAACGAAATCAGTGTGCAGTGCATGTCCTCCCTGTGGACACGTGAGAGAAACACAACTAAGAGATAGATTCTCTATCATGAAAATTTTATCAATTCAATACCTAAGAGATAGATAGATCCTCTATCATGGACATGAAAAACAAAGTGTGTTAATAATCCATCTAAGACCAAATATTCCATGAATTTTAATATTTTCTATTTTAAATATTATTTAATCTTATTAAAGTAAAAAACTTTTGTGAAGAATGTAACATCAACAATTAGCAGCGGAATCAATAAAAATTATATTAATCAAAATCTATGATATTTAGGTCTTTCATTGATACTACCTCCGTCTCATTTTATGTGTCCTACTTTGGTTTGACACAATTATTAATAAAGTGATTGAGAAAGTAAAAGTTGTGGTTGAGATTTGAGTATAATAAAGTGAAATGTTGTAGACCACATATTTCTTTCCAAAAAAAGAAATGTCACACTTATTTTGGGACAACCCAAAAAGGAAAGTAAGACATAAATGAGACGGAGAGAGTAATTTTCAATCACTCTACGTATAACTTTCAGGTCCTACAACAACAACATCCAAGCCTTGTTCCCAAAAGCTTTTGGGGTCGGCTAACATGAAATTTTGTTAGTTTATTACTACAATTAATAAAATTCCCGCAAGCTAATTCTGTTAATTGATAAAATTCCGTTAATTATTACTACTACAATCAGAAGAAGAAGAAGAAGAAGAAGAAAAAGGGCAACTCGGTGAACATTTGCGTCCCCGCCCAAGTTGAGCGTCTGGGGAAGGGTTCCACACAAGGCTGTATAAAGAGCAAGTCTTCTCATTTTGAGAAGAAACTGCTCCCAAAATTTGAACCTCTGACCTGTCGGTCACACGGGAGTGCCAAGCAACATGGTAACCGGGTCCCATGGCTCCCCTTCTTATTACTCCTACATTAAATGCCAATAAAAACAACCACCGTCTAATATTACGGTTTGGAAATTAAGGGGTAAGATCATCGTAAGATAGGCTAAGCGATGTCTTTGTAAACGGTTTGGAAATTATGCTTTTATTAGATTATGTTTATTATTATGTTCTCATCGTTCTGCAAATAATGTATTCCCAAAAACATGTTTAAAAAAATGAAAACAGAGAAATAGGTGTTCCCCTCCCAAGTCCCACCCACCATTATCTTTAATCCAAACAAGCTATAGCTGTCAGGCATCTCACATCTTTGTCAATACCTCTTTAATTAAAATAACTAATACACCATCCCATCCCAAAAAGAGAGTCATGTTTGACATTTGGAAAGGTACATCTATTAAAAGAAATCAAACGTACTTGAAATTCAAAACTTAACTTATACTACTGTTTTGTTATAAATTATGTGATCAGACATGAACCTTTTTGGGGACAAAAGGAACTTTTGAAACAAGACTACTTTCACAGCACAGATGAGGCATTCATATACCATAGAAGTATAGATGGTATTGGTTAAGTGATTGGCAGCACACATATATATGAAGACAGCCTCTTTTGAGTTTTTTCGTAACTACATAGGACTATAGGAGGTTAGGAATGTACCTTGTAGACAACTATGTGAGCTACCGGAAACCCCTGACTGCCAGCTCTAGCAAAAAGGGAAAGATCCCCAATAAGATCCAAAACCTTGTGCCTGCATGGCTCATCAGGGTAATGGAGGGGTGGATTCAACCAGCCCCTACTCTCACTGTCAACAGAGTACAAGGTCGTCAGTTTGGGCTCCATGATTGGTCAAGAAAACGTTATCTAATGTGCTGAAAGCTGATAAACAGATCAGGCATTCAGGCTTAAAGAAAACACCCGACAATTGCAATCAATTCGATCAAGCATATTGGATGCTAAGGGCTCGCCTCATTCATCTCCAGATAAAATGCCATACATTTTATTAATTATCAGCTCTAAATCCCAATGCACAGAATGCTTTAGGGGTTGTTTGGTTGGTGGATTTGGGAGGGAGTAGAGTAAAATCACATGTTTCTTAAAGTTATCCTTTGCTTTTACTGTAGCACTGAAAAATTACCATAGAATTAAGTACGTTTTGTTTAGGCGCGTAGAATAAGAAAATGACAAAATTACATAAAATACCTAAAGTATCCTTTGCTTTTACTGTAGCACTGAAAAAGTAAGTAAAGTTGTAATGACAAAATTGTATATTTAAGTAAGACAAAAGGTAAAGTATGAACGGTATGTAGGATAGTTTGCCAAAAAAGGAAATGTAACATATACTTTCGAACAGTCCAAAAAGGAAATACATAACTATTATTTTGGGACGGAGGGAGTACTAGTTACTAGAATGCCTAACCTACAAACAATTGCACTTTCTAGAGAGCCGCCCTGGATAAGTCCTGATTGCAACATCTGTTCTACCTGAAAATGATTTCACACTAATGTTTCATCAAAATAGCTATGCTTAAAATCTCAAAAGTAAAACCTATTAAGAACATGAGATAGATACAACCACAGCCCCCATAAAGAAACATAATAACAAGTTTTAAATGGCTTCAAGAAAAATGATATAGAATGAACTCTACGCAAGATGGAAAAGGTGGAAAGTTCAATAGATTTGACCACTGTTCTAAAAATTGCTCTAGGCGCCCGACTAGTCCCCGCCTAGGCGCTAGGCGGTGGTCGGGTGCCCCGATTTTAGTCTAGGCGCTCTGACTAATTGATTTGGTGCCTGGGTGAATTAGTCGACCGCCTAGGGCGCCTAGTTGCCCGCCCAAAGCGCTTAATCGGCCGCCTAGCCGTCTAGATTCTTCGAACGTTTTATTTTTCTTTTTTATTTTAGTACTCTAAGAGATATATGTACCTTTAACAACGTTTATGAATAAAGTTACTAGTTGTAGATTAAGATAACAATTATACATGTTTAATGTGACAACACTATCATTCATGCATGTTAATGTGTATGTGTATTTTATACACACACAAACACAACATTACTAATCATATTTATGTAAAAATATTGATAAAACTATAATTTCTATCTCTCCGATTAGTCCCCGCCTAGCCACCTAGGCACTGGGCTGGTGCCCGACTAACGCCTAGCGCCTTTTAGAACATTGGATTTGACTAAAATGCATATAATAAAGACCTGCTCATAAATACAAAATGTTCTTGAAGAAGCTATTTGCTCCACATAGACAAAATTATCTGAAGAAAATGAACAAGAAAACCACTGACAGCCAATTGCAGGTGCCTGCAAGACATGAACCATTATAATACAGAGTAAGTAGCCAGATAGGTATAACACCTTTCCATCAATAAAAAGAATGTTAGTCAACACATTTTTATACATCGGAAAGGAGTTAGTCAACTCTACATAACAGTGATTTCGATCTTTTATTTGACGCACTTAATAGAAATCAAGCCATTGGTACTCTAAATTAAGAAATGCCCTTGTTACATGGATATACATATACATATATAAATAAACAAAAAAACAAAGGGACCAGTGGACTTGAAATTCAAAACACATACTGCGTGATTTTAATCATAAGAGATATAATGGTCAGCACTCAGCATCTGTAAATGCAAATAATTTAACCTGTGGAAAGTTAATTCCATAGCTTATCTTGATGTTTGAGCAAGGGAATGCAGCAATAAACGCATCATTTTTCCATACATGAACAGGTTCATTAACATATGGTGCCAACTTCTCACACGTTTGGCCCCCGTAATAAGAAGCTACCTCCAAACCAACTTCATCTATAGCTTTCACCCATTCCCTTGCAGACCCATCAAATATAGGAACCTGCCTGCGTTAGTCTCGGAAAATTAGTACACTGGTAATTGTAGCAATTATGTACACTGATATCAAGAAAAAACCATAACCATATAGCACGATCAATAATTCAAAACACATGAGTACATGTGAAGATTCCCTTTGCATTGGTGTGAGATATAGGCATAGAACTACAGTTGTGTCTATAGGGGGCTAGAACATTTTTCGGCTTAAAGTGTACACATTACGGGCCAATCATATCCCAATGCTTCTGTACGCGACACATAAGAATGGCCATAATCCATCCAATTCAGGTATGTTTGGATCTTGGAAAATTCTATGGAAAGGAAAGGAATTGGAAAGAAAATAATTTTTATATGTTTGGTCTTGCTGTGTAAAGTAGAAGGATAAATGAACTATGATTATCTTTAAAGCAGATATCGTGCATTTTTTAATTTCCTTGTCTAGTTGTCTTCATGTAGTATAAATAAATAAATGAAAAGAGCTTGAACAAAGAACTAAAACGGATTTATAGAGTTTGAATTGGATTCTTTTATTTCTCTCAAAGTTTCTGTCCATGTAACTTTCCAGCATATTTTCCCGTCATAGCATTTTTCACATTTTGCTCACTAAACTGTCTCCTCTTCTTTGTTATGAAGCAACAGTCAGTCCATGCAATTTTTGACACGAATTTCACTATGGGTCATCCCGAAACAATCTCTCTGTGCTTTAGTACAGGGGTAAGACCGTGCACATTTAACCCCCTACCCCACTGTAGGTGGGAGCCTTTGCAGCAATGGGGTAATGATGATGACGATGATGAGCATTGTTCACATTCCAGAAAGAACTTGTGGTTTCTTTATTTGGGTTGAGCCTGAGTGTTTACTTTTGGGTTGACATTGTTTGTTTATCATTTTATGACAAGATTCTGAGTTTTCATAGTATTTTCTCTTCATAGCATTTTTTGCATTCCAGAAAGACCTTGTGGTTTCTCTATTAGAGAGTATCCTGAGTGTTTGGTTTTAGGTTCACTTTGTTTGTTCATTATTTTATGACAAGAACCTCAGTTTTCACAACTGAGATTAGCATGGTCACCAGTTTAACTTCTATCCAAACAAAAGTTTACAGTATACAAGTATTCAACTGAATTATTTAATAATTATCCAAGTAACATTTTAATCTGCGAGAGAGTTTACCTAGATTCACCCCATTTTACTAAACCTAAGTTCCCAGGGTTTACTTAATTCACCCTATCCAAACCTATGGTTAAGCTATCTATTAAGTTGAAACATTGTGATACATAGGGAGTTATGATAATGGAAAATGACAACTTCTATCTCGCTCTTAAACTCTATGAATCATAAAATAGCTTGAATTTGTGATTATAAGGTACCCGCTAGTGTGAGGATTTTAATGGAAAAGAGACAAGTTCTAAAACTTAAACTTGGAAAATCTGGATAAGAATAAAAGTGTCTTTACCTCAACAGATCGATCATTAGAGGCTGAGTTTTCCACTTCAATTCGACAATTGTCTACTCCACATGCCTCTAGAGCAGAAAGCAGGTGCTCAATTGTTCTCACGCTGTACCCATCTTTACACAGTGTAGTACACAGGGGCGACTCCTTGGAAAAATTAATAGATGCATCGATACGATTAGACCCGATCGCAAAGTACCTGCCTTCACCTGCAAGCTCCGGACATATTCTCACCCTTGATTCCTTGCCGGAGTGGAGCCCCAGTCCGGTTCGTTCAATACAAGTTGATATGGTTTGCTGAAGCAAACCGGTCTGTGAAATTGACAGTTAACTACGCATTTAATTAATTACTCCACAGAGCTTCAAATGAAGATACTGACCAATAAAAAGTAGAATGAGCTGCATATGGGTTAGAAGGAGAGAAGGTACAGATTTCCAGGAGATGACAGGAGATGAGTACTTTAAGGCTGCTTTCAAGACACGAGAGGCAGCCATTAGCTTGATGTGACTTCACATTTAACCCAGAATAGCGAGTCCAGTGAATGATCCGAATGGAGAAGAAGGAGCTAGGGTTCAATTGAGTAAACCGGAGACTTGGACTGGTGACCTTTTGCCTCCAATTTTCCAGTTGAATCTAACAGCGTTTACCAAAGATACTTTGTCAAGATTAGAGTTTCACACACAATATAAATACTCACCTTTTTTTTTACTTTTTTACCCTCTCACCTGCGCACCTTCTCTACTTGCTTCCCGCTCACTTTTTTCTTTCTGGGCTTCCTTTCTTGCACGCTACAAAGCTTGGACACCATCACCTTATACACTCTTCATCTTTTCAATGGATTGAGACGGAAGGGAGCTGGAGTGTGACGGACCGGAGATGGAGAGCGACGTTTGCGGCGGTGGAGGCGGAGTGCGACGGACAGAATATTGACGTCCAAGAAGTTGAAACGGACGTCATGGATGATCTTGGTACGGGTTTATATTGTGGTGGCTTGAGTTTCTGATTCATTAACACTAACCTTAAAATGGAGTTAGATTCCAGAGACACGGTTACGAGGGGGCCCCTGTTTCGAATCCAGTTTAAGAGGTTACTATGTTAAAATATGTTCTCTGCACGTATCGGTATAGAACCTCACTCTCTATCTATCAGATTGGATTATAATCCAATTTACAACCTTCCAACGTACCGTCTGATCGGGTTTGGGGGCGCTCAGGGATGGAGCGTCATCTTTTTTTATTCCAGAGACACTTTGTAAATGCAGTGTGAAAGTGTCTATGGCGCCAAACATGTATTTACTGAGCCTGTGTAGGGGCAAACATTTCTTTGTTGAATGCATGAGTATTGTGCTCCACGACAAGTTCTATGTTATTGCACACAAAGTTAATGTCTGTGTTGAACACCTTAAGGTATGAGTAGTGTGCTCAAAACATGTACTACCTCCTTTCTAAATTGATTTTCAAATTTGACTTTTCTTAATCAAACAGTTTCATTTTATTCACTTAATTAGAATGTCAATTTTTAATTATATTATAATTTGGAGTTTGCAACTTTGAAGAGAGTTCACTCACTTAATTAGGATGTCAATTTTTAATTATATTATAATTTGTAGTTTGCAACTGTGAAAAGAGTTCAATGTAGTTTTTCGACATTTTAGTAGTTTTCCAATTTTGTCAACTTTTTACAATGTCATGGCAATGTTATAATATCTCAATGTCGTCAGCGGAAATAACGTCACTTATTGACAATGTCATAATATTAATACCTCGATGTCACGTGACAATGCCACATGTTATTACACAATGTCACAATCTCACAATGTCATGTTGTTAATAATAAAAATGTTACTAAATTATGTCAACATTGACAAAAGAAATTATTTTCCTTCTGCCTAGTTTTAAATTTTTATTTTACTCAAAAATATTAATTTTAAACAATTACATCATTCACTATCATATAATGACATTGCATATAATTACATTGTCATGACATTATAATACATTGTCAACAATATTTTTTCTATATATTACTTTTAAAGTGTTAGAAAAATGGTTTTACAAATTATATATCATTTGGAGAAAATCATTTTGAAATGAATGAGAAATTGTATCTCGAAATTCTCACTGAAGCCGTGTTTGTGTAGGACTTGTCCCACGCCGCCGTCCGGCCGATTGGATAGGTCGGGTCGGGATTCAGGTATGGATGGGTACCCGTGTGGCTTTAAGACTTAAACATTGTTTTTGTACAATTAATTAATTTGGATAAGGCAACCGTTAGAAGAAAGCTAGGTTGCCACCTTTTCTAAATAGGTGCCTTTTGGGATTAGTCTCCTGGCCAGAGTACTTATATCCCAATTGGCTCCTGCGTTTTAAAGATAAGCAACAAGTCCAAAAAATTATCTCAAAGTCTTCTTCTTTCTCTATGTCCAATACTCCACCGTTAGTGCATCATTTGGTTCGCCGGTGTCCTTCGGGAACGAAAAACCGTTCTATCCTGGGAGACAATTGCTAGCGAGCAAATTTGTCTTAAGGAGACAACAAGCATTTGTTGGGCTCAGTTCAATCTTCTACAATTCCGTACGCTTCTCATTTATCATATTTATTTATTTATTTATTTATTTATTTATTTTGCAGATTTTTGAGATATGCAAATAACAATCTTAAGACAAATTATTTTATATTTTTAATGTTCTGCGTACCTCCTCTATATATTTTCATATGGATTATGACCGTTGCTTAATTGCATGTTCAACGTTTTGTCATTTTTGTGTGTTTTAATATATACCGCTGCATATTGTTATCATATTTCTGCCGGTTTGTTTTTGTTGGGTGTGTCTCGGAAAAACGAAGAAATATTAATTAATAAAATAATTAGTTAATTTAAATAGCTAAAGAAAAACAGAAATAAGATGGAACAGAGTTTAGTCAGAGCTCGCGCTACGCACGATGTCCTTAAAACGTATTCGTCGCCTCCCACGATGGTAGGAGCGTTGCAACGACCGTTTTCCAGGATATGGTGGCTAACGAACCAACGTTTGAGCACACAAACGAGAGTTCCGGCGAACGGGAACAAAGTAAGAACACTTAGGAATTTTCTGAGTAGCTGGAAGTGTTTTAGAGCTCAAAAATACGTGAAGAATGTATTGTGAGTTGTGTTGTTGCAAACCACCTGCCAGCTATTTATAGGAGGATTTGTTGTGTGTTAATGGACCTGAACGTTGGACATTTATTGCTGTAAGACCAAAAGTCCTCGAGCGTCTCTGTTGAGCCCTTCTGTTGCGGACAGAATACCTCGAGAGTTTCTGTTGAATGATAGATTTTCGGACGACATTCGTGTCCGCAGGTCGCCCGCGCACACGAGTCACGGTTTTTCTTCTCCGTTTCGGAATTTGATCGGCACCCCCCGCGCGTAAGAGAGAGAGCCTTTACCTTGAGGAATCTTAACTCTTTCAAAGAGGCTTCCCTTTATAAGGGGTGAAAATCCCTTGAGTTTTCCGGTGTGGTATAAAACACACTAGAAACCCATCATTTTCCCACTTTTTCCATTTCAACGAGTGAACTTCGAGAATCAATTTCTCATTCACCCGTTATCCGTTTTGAGCGTACCATATATTGAATTGTAGCCCTTAACAAGGACAATCCGAAACCACTTTGACCCGACCCAAATCAAAAGTGGACCCACTCAAATAATTGCCCCAAAATGACCATTTAATGCAATTTTTTACACATTTTTCCAACAGTTTTTTATTGTTTCATGAAATAGATTATGTCAATTGTTTGTTTTAATGTTTGCATAATTTCTGCAAATTGTGTGTTGCAACTTGCAAGTGGTTTATAACCATACGTGTACATGAAAAAACATTTTGTTGTTTATTACGGAGTACTTTATTTGAGACGCTAGTCTATGTTAATACTTGCTTGATTTATTCAGTGTATTTTAGTGCATGTGTTGCATAGCCTTGCGTATATGGGAATTTTTGTAGTAATTCTTGATTTTATAATATCATCAAAGTGCATGATTTAATAATATCATAGAAAATTCTGCCGCTGGTGTTTCTATATTATAATTCCACTGCTAAGTTCATTAATAGTTGCATGTTTAAATAAAATGTGCATGTTAGTTGTTTGGATATGAATGTACGTGTTTATATGTATGAACGTGTGCAACTTATAATGATTAATTGTTGTATTATACGGAGTACGTGGGATTCTTCGCACACTTGATAGTGTTGTGAACCGGTACATATGTGTTTGTTCATTTGCAAACGTCTGTTCATGATTCATGTACTGCTATGAAGTTATTTTTGCCATAGTTTTTGTCTAATTTTTTTTGTTATTTCCGTCTACTGCTCGCTTGTAATTATTCACATATTTTTTGTCATTTTCTGTCATCTTGCGAATTTAAACCTGTTATCGATTTTATTCGCATATTGTCATGTTTGCCATCTACTTGGCAATTTTGTCTTGCATATACTTTGTGTATATTTTAGAGTTAATGACTCAAATAGGACTAATAGAAAAGTTAATTGCACATTTAGGACCACAAACGAAATACAACTTTCATAGGACCAATTTCAGTAGAGTTGGACAAAAATACCCCTCTTTTAATTTTTTAATTTTTAAAACTGTAAAATAAAAAATTATTGAAATCCTAGAAGTAGCACTGCCGTCACCAGAGCCAAACCGCATGCCGCCACACCTCGCCGACACAACCTGCCGCCACCCCTCGCCGGCGCAACCTGCTGGCGCCCTCTCCGACGACAGTGCCCCCTGTTGCCGCCCTCACCGTCTACCATATGCCACCGCATCCTTGCCGATGCACCGTCGCCATCCATCGCCGCCCCTTGCCGCTTCCCACACTAGCGTCGACATCTATGCCATCACTATATAACCGGCGTCACCATCCACCCAAGCCACCATCAACAATGACAACTCAGACGGAATAATCTGCCATTAACTTGGCAGATTTAGCATTGGGGATTAGATTCACTTCTGCCATGAACAAGTGCTTCAGATCTGCCAAAAAAGTTGGCAGATTCAACTTGGCATCAGTCACACAAAACTGCCACAAATTTGGCAAAAAAAAACATGAAGTAAATAACCAAATATTCAAACAACTAAAAAATTTAATGGAACAAGTATTTTAACACAACCACAAATTAGAAAAACGAAGCTATTGACAAAAAAACAGAAACCCCAATTTATACCAAAGCATTTCTTCCATAATATGATTGTAAATGTACACATTTTTGCCATAAACTTGGCCAAATCTGAAGCAATCATCCAAAAAATTATGAAAATCGGTTTTTTTTAACTCTGAAATTAAAAACGAGAAAATCGAAATAGAAGTTTGAAAACCTGGAAAACAATTCAAAATTCCGAAAAAATGGAGGAAAATCGAGGAGGAGGAGGAGGAGGAGGAGGAGGAGGAGGAGGAGGAGGAGGAGGAGGAGGAGGAGGAGGAGGAGGAGGAGAAGAAGAAGAAGAAGAAGAAGAAGAAGAAGAAGAAGAAGAAGAAGAAGAAGAAGAAGAAGAAGAAGAAGAAGAAGAAGAAGAAGAAGAAGAAGAAGAAGAAGGATGGAGGAGAAGAAGAAGGATGGAGGAGAAGAAGAAGAAGGATGGAGGAGAAGAAGAAGAAGAAGAAGAAGAGAAAGAGGAATAAGAAGATGAAGAAGAAGAAGGATGGAGGAGAACCTTAGTGGCAGCGGCGTACAGAGAAATTGGCAGCAACGGCGGCGTGAGAGAGAAATTGATCTTGTGTGCAGGGCGAAAATCGGTGGCGGCAGCGATGGCTAGGGTGAAGTCGGTCGATGATGCGCAGTGAAGGAAGAGGGGAAGCAGTTGTGCGCAGAGAATGGGGGAGCGGTTGTGCGCAGGGGGGAAGATAGATGAGTGTAAAAGGGATAAGGGGGTAGTAATGGAATAAAAATACGGATGTTTTCTAATAGGACTAAAATAGTCCTATTTAGGGGAAAAAATCATACATGGTCCTATTTGA